TGGTGAAGGGTCTGGAGCACAAGTCTGATGGGGAGCGGCTGAGGGAGCTGGGGGGGGGTGGTCTGGAGAAGAGGAGGCTGAGGGGAGACCTGATCGCTCTCTACAATGACCTGAAAGGAGGGTGTAGTGAGGTGGGGGTTGGCCTCTTCTCCCAGGCAACTTGTGACAGGACAAGAGGGCATAGTCTTAAGCTGCGCCAGGGGAAGTTCAGGCTAGAAATGAGGAGGCATTTCTTCACAGAAAGGGTCGTTAGGCATTGGGATGGGCTGCCCAGGGAGGGGGTGGAGGCACCGTCCCTGGATGTCGCACTTAGTGCCACGGTCTAGTTGATGTGGCGGTGTTGGGACAAAGGTTGAACTCGATGATCCCAGAGGTCTCTTCCAACCAAATCAATTCTGTGATTCTGTGACCCTTTTCATAAAAAGCTAAGGATGGTAAACACGCTGCAAGCAAGGTGTTGATTAGTATCTTACCAACTGACATCCCCCTTTTTTATCGCAGGCACTTTTCTTCTCTCTGCTTGAACTCCCTTGACTTGCTTGAACTATCTGCAATCCTCCAAATGGCTAAACTTCATTGGGTGTTGAAATAGTTTCTAACTATAGCTAACCCAGTTCATCAGGGTATTATTCTATTTAATTGAAGTTTGCAATACACTTCGAGATCCTTGTATGAAGTGTGAAGTATAATCACAAGCGCAAAATAGAATTGTTTGTAATTCATAATGTGGTAGCAGCCAGGCCAATGGGGGAAAGTTGAAAGGAAATTCAAAATGTATCCTTTGCCCTTTGAAGTTTGACTGCAACTTGGCACATGCATCAAAGAGGTGACTAGTTTCCTTTAGGGTTTAAGTCTCTGCCGAAAAAGATCAAATCAAAAGCAATCTGAGGTTTCCAATTAGATTTATATTAAAAATCAATAATGAAGACCCTAAAAAGGCATACTGATGACTTTTGAAACACTTGCAAAATGAGTGCAGCTCATTTAAGGGCAGGCTGTGATAATCCTTGCTTTGATTAGTAGCTTATATCATGAGTAGTCCCATTTAATTCAGTGCAGCTACTTACTGAATAAAGCGCTGTTCAGTGGGAAATCTGCCCAGCCTGATCCTTACGATTCCATAGATAGCCCAGAGGGTGGGCTACCTGCCCTGTGTCGGGGCAAGCAGCCACACAGACCTCCATGGGCAGCAGAAGAAAGGGTATCGGCAGCTGCCTCCAGGTCTTCTGTAGGCTAGCTTTACTGTAGAGGTATAATTTGATGTTGTAACTATATGTGATTCTAAAGGCTGTAAAGGTTTCCTGCTATGTTCTTTTGTGCTGATTCATTTTTGCCCTCAGGGCAAAATAATTTGTTGATGCAAATACAATAACTGAGGAACCTTAACGGCCTCCTGAGATGGTGGTATAACTTAGGTGCACCTGATAGCATGAGAAATTTGCCTCAGTGGTACTTAGCCAGGATACAGGTGCACCATGTATTTGATTTACATCTCATGTTAAAGCGTTATTCTTCTATACTGCAGCTCAATCACTGTGTCTAATCACAGGGTTTAGTGGTTTAAACAGCACACTAAGGGCCCAATTCAATTAAAAAATGTCCTGCAGAAATCCTTTTTTCATTGTTCTCCCAGCCTCGTGCAGGCTTCTGCAGAGAAGCTGTGATTTTTTTTTTTAATAAGATGGGCCCTAGGATTCCTTCTATTCCAAGGCATCCTCTCCCTTTCTTTTTGATATATTTTGTCATAGCCTTAGTACATAAGGGGATTCTGTTGTTGTAAAACTAACATTTACAAAAGTCATCTTTTGCTTCTTCACTAGTTTGAAAATCTTTGGAACGCAGTGGATGTCAGCACTGGTAGACGGTTGAAGTATCAGGACTTTTTGAAGAAGTTCAGCTCAGAACTTCTAAGAATGCCATCAAGCACTCCCAGAGCAACTAGTTCTACCAAGCCAGCTAGCCATGCCGTGCAGGACCCACACGTGTCTTCTCAGCCTGAACATCTCAAGACATCATCTTCTCTAGTAGGGCAAAAGAGCGTAAGTGTGATTGTTTTATGAATTTTCTGGATTTTTCATTTCAGTGCATAGGCTGAAAATAATACCTGTGGAACTCAATGAAGGTATTCCTGTTGATTGCCCATGAAATCAGACACAACTACCTGTCAATAAGCAAATGAGGTAATTTGCAAAACTGTCTTACAATGACAAAAATTGGGCCAGATAGTAACTCCACTAAAGTCAAAGGATATATGTTGATTTATACCAATAACATTCCCTGCTGTTACTATAGACATATACATCAGAGCTCTATGGCAAATAAAATTTCTGTGCTTAAGCACAATCAGATTTCTGAAAAAGGAAACGGCCCAAATTATAAAGGCCCAATAGCTGCAAAAGCAGCATAAAAAAATACAGACGGCTTGTCTGTGGTCATCTGCCAAAGCCTGGCAGGATTGGCAATTGCAGTTTTCCAGTACATGTTTGCTGGCCTGTCCTAAAACATTCTGGTGATCTTGCCTGCTTTCTGGTGGATGCCAAATTCCAGCTGTTAATGCCTGGTAGTCTAACTGATAGACTTGCTATGAAGGCCAGTGAGCTGAGCGAGGGAAGAGAAGTGGATTAGGAATGCAGTAGTTTTACTTCATTTTTGCATCCATGCCTATACTTCATGTCAATAATGGACTTTGGTCCTATCCACTGCCATGCTGGCCTCTTACCCTATGCCAGAATTCACAGAAAGGTGGGGAAATCATTACAGGCAGAAAAATTAAATATCCCCCGTGTGGAGCTGCACCTACTTATTCCTTGTTCTTTAGCTACAACCAAACCTACAACAGAAAAATAAAATATTCAGAATTATTCAGTGCCTGGAACATGCTTGGATTTTCTGACTACTTCTACACGGAGATGTTTAGCTGCTGAGAAAGAAATAACAGATTGAGCAAATTAAAGATGCAAACAACTTGTCAAGGCTGGTAAATCTAAACATTGGCCCATTGCTAGCTCAATTATTGCATTAACTATAGGTTCTTTCTTGAAAAGCCCAGACAATTAGCTACATGCATCCTTCATGCTTTGAGCCAGTCCCCAGAGAAAGCAACAGAAAATTCCTTGTTACTGTCTGTGAATGCTGGGTTGGATAGTATAAGACAATAGGAAGGGAACTTAAGTCTCCCAAACTTATGGCTGTTGGAAAGACCCCAGCCAGCCCAAACACCAGTCAGGACAAATGTTCCTGCAGTGTTCATTGTATGGAAACGTGTGTGAGGCCTCAGCAAGTCTGCACCAGTGAGACCCTCAAGGGAGCACTGGGAAGTCTCACTAAATACAAGATTATACATTGGATCTAGAAGCATAAATACTGCTTGTGCATGTATTGTACGGTGGTAGGCTGAGGCCTTGCTTCCAGTTCACCTGGATTGCTGAGGCAGCAATCAAAAAGACACTGAGCACCAGGATCCTCTCACGTTACTCCTTCTGTGGCTCTGTGTAGGACCACTGCAGAACCGAGTCCTCCCGCTAACAAATCAAAGAGATGTTATTTCATAATTCAGTGACTTTGCACTGCTTTGTTTGGTCTAAGGTGGTACTATATAGCTTCTTCTGAATACGGTATCAGTTGTTTATTAAGAAACAGTTTGGAGAAACTATAAATGATTTACAGATTAAGCCAAATTAAGAAAAAATAGTCAAGGCCCATTAAATGAATAGTGTCGTTATGACACTAAGAGTGTTCTCACATTTTTACCTACAGTTTTGCAGACCAAATTTAAATCAGACTTAGAAGTGGCTCAAATGGTACATTAGTCTCAAGTCTGGAAGACCAGAAACTGGATTTGTCATCTGGTAGTTTGTCTACACAACCAGTAAAACTCAATTGAAAAAAAATAGCATTGTCTCTTGCTTTTAGATACCAGCATCCAGTCGTTCTCAGACAAAAACTAGTTCTGCACCTGTCCTTAACTGCGAAACAATAGAAAATAAGGTAAGAAAGAACATCCAACATTCCTGGAGAGGCATACTGAAAGTGTGCAAAGAGAAGGATGTCAGCAAGCTAGGAGAAATCCCAGTGTCAGACTTCCTAGGTTTGTTACCATCTGAAAAGTGCTTTATTCATTCTCAGATGTGTTCTGTTTCCGGTGTCCCAGCTAGAGGAACATCTGGCCTCTAGTAAGTGGCATCCACTGCGTGATTGCTCCAGGTACCACCCAGCTATTGCAGAGCAGAATAGCCTTGAGTGTAATACATTCACAGTCCTACTCAGAATTAGCTACTCCTTGAAAAAGGAGTGCATGGCTTGGCTTGTGGGTACTTATGATATGTGTACAAGCTTCTCATCACCTTCCCAATACACTACCCTTTCTGTGCCTGGGGATATTTCAGTAAATCGATTCACCAGTCTTTTCCTTGTAAGCTGGTGTGTGCTTCTGGTTGCACTGGTCTCGATACCTGAATGCCTGCTGATTTGAAAGGACCCTGTGTTTTACTCCTAGAAGAGCTGGGCTACGCTGCTCTTCTGCTGTGTTGTCTTCTAGAGAGAAGATTTTCTGTGCCTGTGTTAGGACGTTTGCACGTCTGATAACACAGTCTGCACCTATATAATCAAATGTAAAGTCCTGACTGTAAGAACATGTTACCTTAACAGATCTTTTATCTCAGTTAATACCAAGGAGTACTTCTTGTGCATTTAAAATCAGTGAGATGTTACCAGTCCTCTGAAACCCTGTAAAATGTGAACTGCCACCCCATAAGTATAGGCATACGCATATACCTGCATATAATAAGATCTGCATAACACACGCAGCAGTCACTGAAACTGATGATCCATAGGCATATCCCTGGTAAAACTTGTGAATACAGGACAACGATTGGCTATTTTTAAGAATGACAATATGAATATTCTTTCTTTGCATTTCAGATATAGCAGATTTGGATTTAAGTGAAGGGGAAATTAAGCAAATAACAACAAAATATGATTTCAAGAAAAATGGAAGATTTGCATACTATGACTTCCTTCAGAGTTGTATCTTCTTGTTAAAACCACCGGAAAGCTCACTGCTACAGAGGGTCATTATACAGAAACCACAAAAGCCAGTAGGTACAAAGCTTATAAAAATCAAAACAACAGTTTTTTTTCAGTTTCTGTCATACTGACTGCATATTTCAGGGCCTGATTCTGTAGTCACTTTATGCAGGGACTTTCCTTTCTCTTATTTAACCCCATGATACTAATTGCCAAGTATTCGTTTGGTATCTATCTCCTTCAGTTGGAGGATTTAACTCCTTGGGATCCTGCTCTGTGTATCCAGGTTATATGGTAAATTGGCCAAATTGGCTAAAATTTGCATAATAATTCCAAATAGAAGACATGGGAGCTGACGGTTTAAGAGCTCCTGTTGAACTAAATAAAAATCAAGCTAGAAATAAAAAGTGCATGGGATGTGTCTTAGGATGGTCCCGAGTTGTCAGCAAGCTGTGCCTCTGCTCCACGCTCTGCACTGTAAGAAAAGCCCAGAGGAAGCTCTCACTTGAACTGCGGTTAATGGTCACTAAAAACACCCAGTAGCCAGGACTGGTCAGCACATGTCATGCCTTTGCAGCTCTCCCTGCCACACATTACAGCTCCCCAAGCTGCGATGAAGAGGCAAAAGCGTACCAGCAAAACAGCTACACAGAGGCTGTTCCCCTCTGCCCACAGTACCGCTCTAGGGCAGAAAAGATCAGAAGAGAGACAGAAATCTGGCTCTCGTGGCCCAGAAAGGAAAGCATCAGTAATAGCATCCCAATCAAGTTATGTAGTAGGAACAGTGCCAAATTCCAAATCTGCTCATTCAGCGAGCCTGCTACATTTTTAGGCTGTTTCTGACTGTGCCTAATTAGTTTAGATATGGTTAGTAGCAGCATTTTATAGAGAAATTACATTACCGAACTGTTTTCAGATGTGGAATGAACAGATTGCTACCAAGGTATGAAGAGAGTATCATTAGGAATTATCAAGTATTCACTATCAGTAGGGAGAGTAAGGTAAAACTATTAAGTTTTGCATCAGAGAACTTCATTATCTTACACATTATCTTCCTTTATACACAAACTTGATACTGTAAAATTCCATCCCAGTATTCTGGAGCGGATAAAGCAGTAATTTTTAAGTCCCTATGCAGTTGTCTCAAATAATTTTTATTTTATTTATTCTATTCAGAAAAAGTAACGAAGGTCTCAGTCCATGTTCTGAGCACCTTTATATAAGGCAATATTCAGCGTGAAATTTCCTCATAGATTGCTCGGTCCGTTCTACCTAATAAGTGTACAGATACACATCAAAAAGAATCATAAAAAACCCAAATAAACCTCTTTTCGTTTGGTGCCAGGCACAATTCCTTCTCTTTCTCAAAAGCCTGAGAGAATCAATGGCCTAGGGCTTCACGGAAGCATCCAGGCTCTGAGCAATGAAAATAACCCAAGCTGCAGTCACTGCAAAGTGCTCTTTCTCTCCTTTCAGCCCACAAGGGTCCTCAGTACGTTGGGTTGGAAACTGCATTCATTATTCCTCTACCCACTCATTCCTCAACTACACAGTCTGTCGGAGGGATACCCCAAGAGCACAGAAAGGTGGTGGAGCTGCCCCCCAGGCTTCTTACAACACGTGTAGGTGCAGCATGGCCTCTGTGTCCACAGAGCAGACGTGTAAAGTCAACTGTGCATTTCCTTCACAAGGAGATGCTTGTGGAGACTCCAGCGACATGTGTGATTGGCACCCAATTACAATAATAAGTACCAGGAGAGTGCAGGGGGAAGCTGAGATGGAGATGTATTTTTTTTTTTAACAAAAGGTAATAGAGCAGATCCAGAACCTGCAGGTGGATTGGGGCTTGCTGACTTTGGGAAAAGTTCCTTACTCATCAGTCCAGTGTTAAAGCTTTGTACAAGTGGAATTAATTTTGCCTTAATGAATAGTTCTGCAGTTCACACGTGTTCACGGTACACCGATGTCACAAGTTTAGCCAGGCTAAAACAACAGCCCACAACGCATCCCAAGGAAAATTAACCCTATGGTCTAGCTGTGGAACCGCAGAAAGGTTCAAAACCAAGGTATTTTGTGTACTGGGAAAAGTGTACAGTAGGGTTTCGCTTTTTCTTAAATACTGTACTGCTCCCACAGTTGGCTTATGCATTGTCAGTTTTAAGCAAAAAATTTCACTCTGAAAAATGAACACTGCAAAGAATTAAAAATGACTGAAAGAGGGAGTTGAAACAAGGCAAGCATAATACATGTGAAAACACTGAGATCTCAGCAGGAGTAACACTGACTTCAGAATCAGTTTCAAATAATAAAAAGTTAGGGTTTTGACAGTGATTAAGTAAATATACCATCTGCACTTCCCAAGAATATCTAAATGTTAGAGGTTAAAATACTCTTGTGTAAACAGTATCTTGCAATAATTTGTAAACAAGTATTCAGCAGCCAGTCACAGATTAAGGCAGTATTACAGTCCAACATCTTTTCATTCTGCAGTGTGGTTCTGCCCAGTTGTGTTGATGATGCTGTTAGTAAATGCGAGTCTTTCTCATCCAACTTTGTTAGCTGAGTCCTGGACCACAAACCACCTCGTTCTTCAGTGCAATGTTGAGAATTCAGCCCCAGATCCTGCACTGCTGGAGACCAGTGAAAGAAACTTTTAAATCCTATGATGAAAGTCGTACTGGACTGTTAAATATTGCAGATTTCAGACAAGTAAGTTGCATTTAGTAAATAATAGTCGGAAAATGACAGTTGTCTAGTCTAAGCTTCCTGATTGAAAGTTTTCTGAGAAATGATACTGAACTAGAGCGTATAAACTCCTCCTGCCTCCTCTCTGCAACTTGAGCTCTGACCGTTCCTCATGGTAATCTTTCTCCACCTGCGATTAGTTTCTTGAGGTCCGAGGTCTTGGTGGGGTCCTGAATAGATAAAACAGAGAAAAACCTTAGTCCCTATACAAAGTTTAAACGCATATCTTTCATAAACACATGGGGAGGCAATAGAAGCGTACCTTCTGGTAGGTCTCCCTACAGGCACTGCTACAGCTGCAGGATCCTGTGACCCTCCAACTGGGGGGGTCCCTTCTAAACGTGGAATGGGCTCAAGTAATCCCCATTTGAGAGACTCTGCTTCTGGTTTCTCTCTTTCCTCTTCTATATGCAGCATAATTGGGTACTAAGCAAGAGGTCTGTATCCTCAGCAAATATTTAGGTATCTTGTATCTCCTCAAACAGCAAATACACACCTGTGTATTCTGGGTATCAGTGATTCTTCATTTAGATCCATGGGGAGTTTGGGTTTTGCTTAGCTTTACTGGTTTCAAAATCTTTGGCTTTTTTTAAACTAGGAATAATAATCACTATCTGTTCTGGAGTAATTCTGAATATCTACTATTCAATTGCAAGAAAAAAAATAGAGTGGGGCACTGAACCCGTTTAACGCTGCATGCATTAGGGCACCCCTTGATATCGCTACTGCTTCAAAAAACTGATCAACTAACAGACGGGATGCTCAGTCGCAGTAAGCAAATGCTTGGCTGCAATAAGCAAGACAAAAGTGTGCTTCTGACGCTCCCCTTCCCCTGGAGCAGCAGGAAGCCGGCTTGTGGTCTGGTAGATATAAACCTGTTCAATTGTACCAGTCACAGAAATTCTCTTTTAAATCTTTTTTTGGACTGGTGGCAACGTGACATGTTCTGGCACCGCCACATAGCTGAAACCTGAGTCCCTGCCTGCACCTCTGCAAAGGCTGAGGAGCAAGATCTATCAATGCGGCCATATCAACTTCATGCCTGAGGCTCCCTGTCTATCACGGCAGCTTTCTGACTGCTTGGGCACTGCCTCAGCAGACCACGCTCAGGGGAGGAGGAGTGAAGATCAGACTCCTTTGCATTTGATTTTAATTTGTCATGTTCCTCTAGGACATATGATTACCATTTATAGTTAAAGCAATGTCAATAACTTTCAAATCAAGCTTCCTAATGTGATATAAGTTAAGCAAAAAAAAAAACAAACAACCCAGAACCCACAACCAAAAAACTAACTCTTCGTAGATCTAGATCAAGAAGCAATCCCCGATTCCAAACTCCTACTACAAAGGTGTTAATCTGCTGTTTGACAAGATACCAAGTGATTTGTGGAGGTACAGATCCCTTTATCTCCTAGGTAACTTAATTTACTGAAACAGGGAAATTAGCTCTCTGCTAACTTCAGTAACACTGCTATTTATGGCTGTACTATCTGCAAGGGGTCATTAGCGATTTCTGACGCTGAGCTGTTGAGAGAGAAAGGGGCAGATTAATCTGAGTTTGCCAGAAAACTAATGACAACCGGCGTAGCAGACACCATGTTGCTGGTCACTTTCAGGGTTTAAATTCCCAAGTGCATCTAAAACCAGAAGTAGTCATCAGAAATTAATACATTATTTTCTTTCATGTCAGGGCATTGAGAACATTTAAAACTGCTGAAGTGCTGAAAAACACACCAGGTGAAATAGTTGAAAGGTGCAGGTATCTAACCTGGCTTTTAGCATCAGGTGAACCAGATGCATCCCATTCAAGTTGGGTTCTCCCTGAAGCGTGAGGAAGGCACGCTTACAGGCTGAGCATTTGTCCCATGGAAATTAAAAGCACCGAGTGCATCATGGGCATGATGATATACATAGGGGTTTGCACATTTTCAGTGACTGGATTATTCCTTCTCTTTCTCTGGATGCAAAGGCTGCAGATGACCCAAGGAGGATAGAAAGGAAGATATTCCACCTCTTCATCTCATCTCCAGATAGTAATGAAAGCCTTTTAAACGTACTTTTTGTAAATTAGCTTGTATGCACATGGGTGCTATCCATTTCCCAGTGCTCCCTCAGGCAAGTGCTAGTCGGGCTAGTGGGCAAAACCCCTGCGTATGCCGGTTTTCAGATGTGCGTCCCAGGGGACCAGTATTGGCATGGGAGGAGTAAGAGAAAATAAAGGAAGGTTTGAGTGTCTAATATTCTGAGAAACCTAAGACAGAGTGGAGCTGAATCATCAAGTTATTTTGTAAAGAAATTTTAGCAAGATAAACTAATGTTTTTACTTCTTGCTCACTCGAAGCACTGGAATAAATTTTAAAGTTGTCTGTGGCTTTCGTAGGTTCTTCATGAGTACAGCATGGACCTAACTGAAGAGCAGTTATTCAACATTTTGGAATACTATGCTAAAACTTTGTCTTCAAAAATATCCTATAATGATTTTCTCTGGGCATTTGTTCAGTAGGATTTGGTCAAATGCAGGACACTGTAGATAAAGACAATGACTGAATTATAATTTTTAATTTCAAACTAATAAATTAATTGAGTATGGCTTTTTTGTGTCTACTCATTAGAAAACTCAAAATACTTTAAAATCCTGACAGTGGTCCTGTATTGTGGATTAAATCTACATAGTGAGGGAATTAATTTTGCATAATCCACTTATCAAAAAAGAAAAAGACAACAATTAACATTGTCAAAATAATGCTTTCTAAGACATCTCCAAAAGCAATTCATTTAAGGAAATTCTTTTTTTAATTTTATGCATTTTATTAATGACATACCCTTAACTTCAGTAAAAAGGTTTACAAGACAAACTATTGAATTTCCTCAATTGTCATTTTCCAAATGTATTAACTTAATACATTAGCCTTCATTATTCAAAAAAACCTATCCTATGTCTCGGTGCATCTTTTTCCTCTACTTGTAGTGCCATATGTGTATTGTCGCGGACACCTTACTATGGACTGGCCGTTGAAATCTGAGCAGATGCTAGCTGTGTGCGGACACCACACCTTTCTCTGTTAGAACTGTTCTACATCCTTCAGCACAGTTTAGAAAAGAAATTACTTTACCTATAAGCATTGGCTTCTTAACTGCAGAGAAATATTCCCAGTGTTAGCTGGATACTATATATATATTTATACAGTAAATTGCAAACAAAGCCTCTAGTTAGATTTCCCAGTTCTAGAAAAATTCCGTTTGATTATCTTGTGAGGTACTTAGATCTTGGTGAGGAAATTAGAAGATAATTGTTTGACTGTTGAACTCTTATGATAATTAAAGGATAATACAATCGTCAGAGCCTGCTTCCTGGGATTATATCAACAATTAAACACTCACCTGCTCTGAAGGATCGTTAGATAAATATTTCACTGTCTGGTTCCTGAATAGTTTTCATGGGTACACCGAAGAGCCCTGTCCTCAGCACCTGAGCTGATCTGGTATCTTTCTTTTTCCAAGCAACATATAAAGGTAAGTCAACAAAAATTAATAAAACAAAAAAAAGAGAGCAAGTTTTGGGTGTACAAACACACATGCATGTACACACACACATACATCCCAAGGGAAGTCTTTGGAATGGGAAAAGGTAGAGGAACGTAATCTTGTTTTTCTTGTAGTTTCTAGTGAATGTGTGAACCATTGTGATGAATCATAAAGATTCCCAGTGCAGAACACTTTAATGTATTTTTTTTTCCCTGAGAAAATGTTTCTTTGCATTTGGAGCTTTTCAGGAAATATTTTGAAGATTTTTGAGTGAAAAGCATTGGGGAGGTTTCAGGTTGGATGTTTTGCATTGTGTCTCTTTTAGCTTCTAAGATTTGTGCAATTTGTACTCTACTATAAAATAAAGACATTTGGTATTGGATATATTTGAAATAGTAACATAAAAAAACGCTTGCTAGACTTTTTCCAAAACTGATGGCTATCTGTAAGTCCCTGAAATTGCTGCTTAGACACATGATTAACAGAAGAGACTGAAACTACTCTTATTTCAGGACTAAATACAAAAATTCCCAGTCCCATTCACAGAAAACAGTGGGTTTAAGAATACAGGTACATACATCAGCAAAGGACTAAAAGAGCTGGTCCTGGTTCAGTTGCCTGAACACAGGCCCGAGTCAGCTCTTCCCACCTGGCCACCCGGCTGGTCCTGTGTTAACACCGGCCGGCCCCACAGGGATGTCTCCAGTGGCAGCAGGCATCTCAGACCCTGCTTCAGCAACCCAGCTGAGCCCGAGAGGGGTTCAGTTTAGCCCCACTTAACATCTAATTAGACTATTTCTGCTTAATTTTATCCTTGTAACTGATGTGAAGCCTCAAACTGCTCTATTCCTTAACGGCAACTTCTTTCCTCCTCCCCAGTCAGGTGCAACACACCTATATTTAATTTATGTTATTATTTAATACAGTTTATATACTGAATTAATCATTCATATTAATTAAAGAATTAATTGGTGTTTGGAATACCTAAGATTATAACACAAGTATTACATTATTTATTTTTAAAATAGTGGATTTCACTGTACTCATCTAACCAAGGAGAAAAAAATAAACTACTTAAGTGATTATGTGGTAGTGTGGTTTGGGTTTGAAGGGGGGTGTTTGTTCCCCCCACCAAATCTGTCATACCTCCTGTTTGATAATTGGTCTAATTTTATATCAAATACAATAAGACTTTCATCCCTGTGTTGCTTTCTAGCACAGAGCACGGCTACCATCTTTCACAAAGGGATGCAGAAGTTGTCCCCCTTGCTCCGCCATTTTCAAGACACCCACTGTCTTCAGGAGAGGCGATGCGACGAGGGGATGGATGTCTCTGAGTTTCCTGACACATCCTGCCAGAGGATTTTTCATTAGTTCGACTGGCAGGAGTATCAAATCCAACAACTCCAAAGGGATTAAAGAACAATCTTCTCACTGTACAAACAAATCAAATCATGCTGGTTTTTTTAGTGAGTTCTTAAAGGCAGGGATGGCAGTTACCAACTGTTTATCCAACCTCAAAAAAACAAAAATCCAAACTGAATTTCAACTGCCAGCATTTTGAAATAACCGAGGTAATTTTTCATATGAAAACTGCAAACTGCTGGATGGATAAACTTTGTAATAGAAGAGGGCTTTATTTTTCCGCAGCCGTACCCCCTAATCAAGGGTCAACCACCCAGCCAGGCAGGGCTGGCAGAGATCTCCTGTGTTTCCACCATGAGGTGGATAATGTCAGTGGGATTGAGCGCCAGGGTAGTGGTCCCCCGCTGCCGTATGTAAATGCTGCAGCAACACCGAGGCGGTTATGAAAATAAAAACGTCAATGCAAAGCTCAGAAATTTCATCTCCAAGTGGAGGACAGCAATCCCGAGTCTGCTCCGGCAGGATTGCCGTTTGCTCTGTCAGCCCCGGAGCAGTAGCGTGGGGACACCGGCCTGGCTGCCGCCGCCGCGCTGCCCTCGACCCGCTGGGCCACCGCTTTGGGCAGGAGGCAAGGAGCACAACACCTCAGAGGCA